ATCGAATGCCACCTTCGCTTTTGATGACGGGGCAAAATCGACGGCATTAGCAAATACCTATAAGAATTATTAATGTGTTTTTTACAAGAGTTTTTCTCAAGAAAACATCATAAAAAGAAGAGGAAAACAAAATCGTTAATTAAGAATTGCGCGACATTAGTCGAATCTGTTGGGCATATTGCAGAGCATTGATATTACCGACTGATCTGACCTCTCAGTATATTGTTAGTTTATAACGTAATATTCACTTGTTCATCATTATCTAAATATTTCGCAAAAATCTACTTATATATACGTATTTATAGTATGAGTAATACAACATATCTTTGTAACTGTATTTTCATTGTTATGTATTTCAAAACAGCCGTGCTATAAAAATTCTAAAAAGTAATGAGAATTTTTATAAAATAAATGAATTTGTATGTACCTGGCAAAGTATATGCTTCTACATTGTGGAAACATCACGTATCTTCGTTTATAAAACTCATTATCATAGGCCGGTATTCATAATCTGATCTTATATTTAAAATCATCGTAAGTACTGCTTAAGATGTCATGAACCAATCACAAAGCCGTATTCGCATCTTAAAACATTACTTAAGATAGTCTTGAAATAAGATTCGACTATAAATACCGGCCATAGTTATCTATCGCGTGGATAACTATGAAAATACAGTCTTGCAGAATTATATCGCGTCGCATATGTGCGGATTCATGAAACATACACGTAGGTTATAAAGCATGAAAAATGCGCAATTCCACTTAGCTGGTAAGCTGTGTAGAGTTTAGCAGTTACGAGAATCCCCTTAAGAGGTCGTTGAGTTGGAATGATTCGGTGCTTTAGACGTGGAATTAAGTATGCAACCGTGACAGGAATCCTTCTGATCTTACTCTCTTAACCTTTAACACTTATACAATTAATAATCCGAGCACCAATTGATCTTGTTTTCCTCTCACAAATATTGTGTGTATATATTATTCAAAACACGGCGGTTTCTCGTACATTGCTGTATATCCTTAATTTATTTAAATAACAAATTCGATATTTTATCTTTCGTCGCTTGATGAAAGAGCAGGAAATATAATATTATGTAAAATAGAGATAACGTAGCAGGAAACACCGATTCATACCATATCTTAACGAGAGTATAACACGTTGCGGGAGGGGACTTATTACACATACCTGTTTGCGATATCGTTGACGTACAGTTAATGGCACCATTGCTAGTAATTTTAGGACCAATATACTGCCCCAGAACCCGAATACCTTTAGAATTTCCGGATTGATATCGGTCATTTTTTTCTCACTTTTAGGTACTCTTCAATTAAAATGTGTGGTGGCCACGTATGTCTTGTACTACACGTTGGAGAAAGGATTACAGAGTAGTGATCTGTAGTGGTTACACTCGCGCGTCTCGTACGCATCTGAGCGGAGAAACACTTTATCTACGCGATATATGTGCGATGAACGATAATATGTACGTCCTTAATGGAGTCGTGCAAAAAGAGAATTTTAAGTAAAGATAATTATGAATCAGCTCCAACATAAGAAATAAGGAGTCGACCAAGTATTATCATATTTTACTTATCAATGGGTATTCATCATATATGTTGTAACTGAAATATATCAATTTTTAACCGTAAATAAAGTACGAAAAATAATTTTTACTCTGGCGTATGGATCACGAAGAAATATTTTATTTAATCAATTTAAATTTTGATTCCTTTCAATCCTATAAACTATGTGCGTGTAATTCAAGAGTACATCCCAGACCACAATATCATT